CACTAAACAAGCCAGGAGTGTCATTTACCACTAATATTTCTTGCATAAGTATCATTTGTATATTTACAAACACAAATAAGATATACTTCACATTTTCCAGAATACAAATGCAAGTAACCTTTCTATGTATTTACTAGTTATTTGTATGCTTATCATCTGAATCATAACTTATTAAAGAAAAGTTATTAAACACTTGTCTGATTTTTTATTAGCTGGTGTCCGTTTTCATCTCGATTTCTAGGAATCCGTACATATACAACCATACATTGTTTAACTATGGGAATGTGTTTTGGGAAATGTGTTGTTAAGCAGTTTTCATCATTGTGTAAACATCACAGAGTGTACATACACAAACCTAGATAGTATAGCATACTATACCCCTAAGCTATATGGTACAGCCTATTTCTCCCAGGCTAAAACCTGTACAGCATGTTACTATACTGAATCTTAGGCAACTGTAACACAACGGTAAGTATTTGTGTACCTAAACATAGAAAAGTTAAAACTCTATGGTATAAAATATACATATGGCACACCTGTATAGGGCACTTACCATGAATGGAGCTTATAGGACTGGAAGTTAGTCTGGGTGAGTCTGTGAGTGAGTGGTGAATGAATGTGAAGGACTAGGGCATTACTGTACACTACTATAGACTTTATAAAAATTGAACACTTAGACTACACTAAATATATTAAGAATAGCTTTCTTCCTTCAATAATAAATTAACCTTATATTCCTGTAACTTTTCACTTACACACTTTTAACTTTTTGAATCATTCGTAGTAACATTTAGCTTAAAAAATAAAGATTGCACAGCGGTACAAACACATTTATATCTTTATTATATAAGCTTTCCTCTATTTTTAAATTTATTTTACTTTTTAAACTTTTTTCTTTGAAGACACAAATACACACATTAGCCTAGGCCTACACAGGGTCAGGACTGTCAGTATCACTGTTTTCCACCTCCACAACTTGTCCCACTGGAAGTTTTTCAGGGGCAATAACAGGCATGGAGCTGTCATCTTTTATGATAACATTGCCTTATTCTGGAATTTTCTGGAGAATTAACCTCAGACTGTTTGATAGTTAACATTATTTTAGAAGAAGTACATTCTAAAATAGTGATGAAAATTATAGATAGCACAGTAAATACCGTGAACCCCAAATATCTGATACAGGTCTCAGATAATTAGGAAGTTTATTTTGCCAAAGTTAAGGATGCAAACCCGTGACACAGCCTCCGGAGGTCCTGAAGACATGTGTTGAAGGTGGTCGGGGTACAGGTTGGTTTTATACATTTTAGGGAGACACAAGACATCAATCAATATATGTAAGATGAACATTGGTTCTGTCCCCAGAAAGGCAGGAAAACTCAAAGCAAGGGAAGGGGCTTCTAGGTCACAAGTAGATGAGATGAATGGTCGTATTCTTTTGAGTTTCTGATTAGTCTTTCCAAAGGATGCAATCAGATATACATATATCTCAGTGAGCAGAAAAATGACATTGAATAGAATGGGAGGCAGGTTTGCCCTAAGCAGTTCCCAGCTTAACATTTCCCTTTAGCTTAGTGATTTTAGGGTCCCAAGATGTATTTTCTTTTCACAATATATAACCAGAAACATATCTGATTGTTGTCATCATCAAATATTGTTACTATACAGAACTGTATGACCTATACATTTCTATTACTGGCAATACAGTAGGTTTGTTTATAACAGAATCACCACAGACATATGAGTAATGCATTTTGCTATGATGTTACTATGCAAAAGGAACTTTTCAGTTCTATTATAATCTTATAAGAACACCATAGTATATGCAGTGCATCATTGACTGAAATATTGGTATGCAGCATATGACTCAGTATGCAGCACATGAGAGAGGTATGGACTACATATTTATGTCTTCTGAAAACTCATATGTGGAAGCCCTAATCCCCCTGATATGGTTTGGCTCTGTGTTCCCACTTAAATCCCATTTCAAATTGTAATCCCCAGCTGTTGGAAGGGGAACCTGGTGGTGGATGATTTGGATAATGGGGGCAGTTTCCCTCCTGCTGTTATCATGATAATGAGTGAATTCTCATGAGATCCAATGGTTTTGTGTTTGGCAAGTTTCTCAATCGCTCACTGGCTCTCTCACCTGCAACCATGTAAGATGTGCCTGCTTTCCCTTCTGCCATGATTGTAAATTTCCTGAGGTCTCCCCAGCCATCCAGAACTGTGAGTCAATTAAACCTCCTTTGCTCATGAATTACCCAGTCTTGAATAATATCTTTATAGCAGTGTGAAAATGGACTAATACAGTAAATTGATAGCACAGAGAGTGGGGTGCTGCTATAAAGGTACTTGAAAATGTGAAAGCAACTTTGGAACTGGGTAAAGGGCAGAGGTTGAAACAGCTGGGAGGGCTCAGAAGAAGGCAGAAAAATGTGAGAAAGTTTGGAGCTTCCTAGAGACTTGTATGGTTTTGACCATAATGTGGATAGTGATGTGAACAATGAAGTCCAGGCGGAGCTGGTCGCAGATGGAGATGAGAAACTTATTGGGAACTGGAATAAAGATTGCTCTTGCTCTGTTTAGCAAAGAGACTGGCAGCATTTTGCCCCTGCCCTAGAGATCTATGGAACTTTGAACTTCACAAAGATGATTTAGAGTATCCGACAGAAGAAATTTCTAAGCGGCAAAGTGTTCAAGAGGAAGCAGAGCATAAAAGTTTGGATAATTTGCAGCCTGCCAATGCAATAGAAAAGAAACACCCATTTTGCAGGGAGAAATTTAAGCCAGCTGCAAAAATTTGCATAAGTAATGAAGAGCCTATTGTGAACCACCAAGACAATAAGTTACCCTCCCCTGTAGGTGAGAATATATAGAATATACAGAAAAATCAGGTGTGGCTCTATCCCGTAGTGAGAAAGTGAGATGCCATGATGAACCATTACATAATGCCCTTCTTTGTCTCTCTTGACCTTTGTTGATTTAAAGTCTGTTTTATCAGAGACTGGGTTTATGACTCCTGCTTTTTTTTTTCTTTTTTTTTTTTTTTTTT